TAAACACTGGGTATTAACTGCTACGAAAATCTCAACAATCAAAGCCCTGGCTTGAACCAAGGCAAGAAAAATCAGTCTAAAACACAGCTAAGTCTCTTCTCTTAGTATGTCTTACCACCTATGGGTGATTCATAAAATGCAGAGACAGCCTGTGGCTTTTCCAGACACTAAAGTCTAGATGCCGTTAAGACAGATAGAAAATGTTTAGTCAACATCAGTATCAGCTCAGTACAAGAAAGCTTTGAAAGAATGGCTGAAGTAGACAGAAACAAAGATAGCCCCAAGGCCATTCTGCATATCAGAATATTTTTCTTTGCCCACAGTAGGTACTGTGTCTAATAACATTAAATCCTGTGTTAAGAACGAAAATCATGATCATCGAAGGACACAGAAATACAGAAGCTAAGTTGCAATCTAGCTATCAAGCAAGGATAATATAATGATTTAGAAAAAAATGTGCATCCTGCACATCTTAGCCGGACCACCACTGTGAGGTCTCACATTACTCAGTGTTAAGCACTCCTATTTCATATTATTTTAGCATTGTCTAAAACATCTGGACCACTGAATTGCTTGCATACCCACCCTCCTTTCCTTGGTCATCTCCATGTTCTTACTGCAAAACACCTCCACAGAGCTCTAACTCCAACACGTTGCCAATAAGCCACGTGGACTGTGAAAGGGGAACTGAAGAGACTGTGTAAAACATGCTAAGTAGCAGTGGTCTCATCAACACCAAACATTTTACAATTTTAATAGATATATACAACCAAACAAAAAAAATTTTCTCTTTCAAAATAAGTGTGTGCTTAAGGACGCAGATGAAGCTGTCAAGAGATGTAAAGTGCATTTTCAAGTACCTGAACATCACAAAACGCACTTCTGTTGCCATCAATACAGGAGTAGGGTACCTGATTTTTACTTTTTTCTTTAAGTTCTGCAGGCCACAAAAGCACTCTTAAGCATCTCAGTGTATGCATTTTATAGGCCTGAGGATTTTAGTATTTAGGCCTCTCTTAAGATGAAGATAGTTTTTTCGTCTCACACAAGCAACAAAAGAAATAGGATTTCTGTCCTAAAGACCATAATTCTTACCCAGTTACGTACATCTCTGGAAACGCAGCTGTTGCAGCTAAGAGCAGAAAGAAAAGTTTCAAACGCACAGAGTGCACTTGCTTCCTATTTCAGGCAAGAAACGCTGTCAAACCCGAATTTCCGAGTGACCTAAACCCAGCCTGTTTTAGAGTTATCCCCAGAAGCAACGCCCACACCCTACCGCCAGGCTGGTTGACGACACCTCCCTGCACTGGAAGGAAGCAGGTAAGTCAAAGTTTACATTCGGCTCCTAGACACGACTTTGGTGCGACCCTGGCGTGGGGAGGGGGCTGCCCTGGGGGTCAGCGGCGTCGCAGAAGGGCAGGACACGGTCGCCTGCGGAGCCAGCAGCATAAGGCAGGGCCGGCCAAGTTGCCGGGGGACTTAGGTGCAGGTGTTACGATCCTGGCACAGGAGACACACTACGTGGGCCACGGCTCCCCAGTCCCCACGCCGCAGCTCCCGGCTCGCTCCTCCTCGTCTTCCCACAGGCTAACAAAGGTTCCCGGCACCGTCCTGTCGACCCCCGACCCTGGTGGAGGGACTGTGGCGCAGCATAACCCGAAGCTGCCGCCTCAGCCGGACACAGTCCGCGAGCAGAGGGGCCGCGGCAGGGCCAGGCCGGGAGGGAGCGAAGATGCAGGGAGGGGGAAGAGCAAGACAGAGGGGCGGGCGAGAGGGACAGGTACGCCGGCGGACACCGCTCGCCGCCGGGAAAGGCCTCGCCCTGCCACCGGCCGCCGAGAGAAGAGGATACTCACCGCCCGCTACCGCCGGCCTGCCCGCCGCCCAGGGCTCGCCATTGTGGCGCGACGGAAGCAACTCCTGTCCCTCGGCGCGCCCGATCCGCGCGGCTCTTCCGGCGGCGCGGGCCCGCCCCCCGCGTCCGGCCCAGCCTCGCCCCGCCCGGCCGGGCGGGGCGAGGCTGGGCCGGACGCGGGGGGCGGGCCGCAGACGGCCCGTCTCGGAGTGGGCTCGGAAAGCGCGCCTGGCACGACATCGACGTGTGCAGTCGGCTAATGGTGCTAAATATTGCGTCCGGTATTTCCTTAAACCTCCTGTCATGGTGACCCCACCACCTCCCTGGGCAGGCGGTGATTAGGCCACGTCTAGTCACGCTTCTGTGTAGAAACTACTACTGCTCTCTTATTCTGTCAGCTGGTGGCTGTGGAAAGAAGCCGACCCCCAGCTGGCCGCACCCTCCTTTCATGCAGTTGCGGAATACCAAAAGGTTTCCCCTGAGCTTGCTCCAGGGTAAACACCCGCAGCTCCCTCAGCTGCTCCTCACAGGACCTGTGCTCCAGACCCTTGCCCAGCTCCAGTACCTCAATGCCCTTGCAGTGAGGAGCCTAAATATGGACACGAGATCTGAGTATAGGCAGATAATCATTGCTCTGGTCCTGCCGGCCACACTATTGCTGGTACAGGCCAGAATGCCATTGATCTTCTTGGTCATTGAAGAGGTGAATCATTGCAGTCATCTCCCAGAAAATAAGTACGTAATTTATTGGCTTGTTGAGAAGGGTGTCTTTCTACCATGCTTTTGCGTTCATATTTATAGAAAAGAGGGACTCTTAATAAGCCTTATGAGGTGGTGCTCATGGGAATTCACCTTCCCATTCCAGTTCAGATTCCCTGAGCAAAATGTGTACAAGTATGTAGTTTTTGAAGATAGGTAAAAGCTGAGACTTCCCAGAACGGTACCTTTCTTAGACAGGAACTTATAGCTTAGTGCTTCGCAGTTGCCCTGGCTTAGCACAAATTTGGGAGGAAACCTCTGAATGAGGTTCTTCTGGAAAAAAGGAAAAAAATTGGAGAGAAGTGGAAAAAAAAAAAAGAAAACTGTTTATTTAACAGGCAACACACTTTTCAGTACAACAATGACCAATATCAAACAGCAAAACCTCTCGCTGTTCTGAGGAGATGGCAGATTTAGAAGAGTTCTTTCCGTGGGCAGCGTGGCTCACTCAGTCTGTTCTCAGTCCCTCCTGTGCTGGGGAATGCCACGGCCCAGGCCAGGCCTGGTGGGCCACAGGTGTGAGCTCCCGGTGCTCTTCTGGGTTTTCAGTCTAAAGCAGGTTCAGACAGTTCCAGGAAAACAGAAAAAGAAAAAAAAAAGCAAAACAATCCAGAGGGCTTTTCTGCCTCAGCTAGCCAAAAAACTAACTAAAAGCAAAGGAGAGCTCACTCTCCACCGCAGACAACACAGTCTGAGTGCAGGAATGCGGGGGAGCCAGTGCAGTCTCTGATAACAAA